GCCCTGGGGGGGGGGTCCACGGGGTGGGGTCCCCGCCCCCTCCCCCCCCCATGTTTCGAGGGAGGATCTGTAAAGAGACAATGCATTTTTATTTTTTTATTTATTTTTATTTTTATATATCTTTATTGATTTCAGAGAGAGGAAAGGAGAGGGAGAGAGAGAGACAGAAACATCAATGATGAGAGAGTCATTGATCGAGCCCACAACCCGGGCATGTGCCCTGACCGGGAATCGAACCCCTATCGCCTGGATCCTAGGTCGACGCTCAACCGCTGAGCCACGCCCAGCTGGGCGAGACAACGCATTTTTAAATAGAAGGAAAGCTGACTCAAACAAAGTAAACATTTCCCCATTATTCAAGCCATTTCCAAAAGAAAATACGTAAATTTCAATGCTGCCTTAGCCCTGGATGTACTTGGGAACCCACAGAACTAAAAAATGATTCTTCTAACCATTAGGTACATGGTGTGAATTTGACCAGCAAAGAAAGTACAGAAAATTGGCACATGTCCTAAGAAAGTATCTTTCTTCATATTTGGGGGTTGGGGGGGTGAAGTGTTAGCTGTGACTACGGCGTTGTTAATTTGATGATATTAATTTCCAGGTTGGAGGTTTGTTTGTCATAATTTGACTGCCTGCCCAGCATTTTAATTTCGCCACGGCGCAGCGTTTGGTCTCTGATTTTTTAACACTATTCATCCCAATAATGCTGGTTGAAGATACCGTGGAAGCGGTAAACAATAAAAGTGACGACTTTTTCCTTTTTCCGGGTCCCTGCCGTCCTGCCATACCCCGGGGTCTTCGAGAGAGTTGCTGATTCATTACCTCCCCGGGGCCCCGCAAGGTGAGAGTGAATTTAATGGCAAACTTGACGAGCATCCAGAGGTTTCAGTAAGTGTCTCAGGGCTCACTCTGTGCTGGACTCGCTCCCAGGTTCTGGCTGCAAACTTTCAGGTGGATTATTTTATTACATCATCAAAACTTTCGTCTGTAAAGGACGTACACTTCGCCTTCCTTTTAGCTGTGGAAACTGAGGCCCGGGCCCGGGTGGTTTGTGCAGGTAACGCAACAGCAAGCGAAGAGGTCGGAGTCCGAAAGCAGATGCCAGGGTCCCAGCGGGGAGCTGTCTGGTTTTCACTGTAACTAAATGTTGTTGGGATTGCTTATTTCTTTCTCCCAGCTCCATAGAACTTGTTTTCAATGTTTTTATTCCTTTGAGAAAGAGCGAGAGAGAGAGAAACATCCATGTGAGAGAGAAACATCGACCCGCTGCCTCCTGCAGGCCCCCTACTGGGCATGGAGCCCGCAACCCGGGCACGTGCCCCGACCGGGAATCGGACCAGTGACCTTTCTGTGCACAGGAGGACACTCAGCCAACTGAGCCACACCAGCCAGGGCCCAGCTCCACCAGAACTAGATGCATGAGGATCCTGCCAAATACGGTGATTCTGTTAAACATCCCATCTGACCTGATTACCTGGGGAAACGGGGCTCGGTGGTGCCAAGTTCGCCGACGGTGAGGACCATGCAGTGCATCGCCTTTGGAATTTTATACTCAGAGCAGAGCATCCCAACTATATCTTGTTGGGAAACCTAATGGTATAATTATTTGCCGGCCTGTTTGAACTGTGACCCTCGCCAGTCCTGGGCCCTCCGAGCCACGGTTTGTTATTTAGGGGACTGTGTCTGAACTGCCAGCCCGGCCTGTGTGCGGAGCGTCACCTGGTGATTAGCAGGACACGCTCTCTCACATCTGACCGGCTTGGTCCAGGCAGCCTGAGGAGGGAACAATATCACTTTGGGAAAGGAAGAATGGCAGAAAACAGATGACGTATTAATTAAAATATAAACAATGAAAAACAAACTTTGAGTCTTTAATTCGCTGCTTTTGACTTTTTTTTTTTATTTCTTGGTGCCGTAAATAGATGTAGTTTCTAAAGTCACTTTTGTGGGTTTCTCTGAGTGTTTCTATGAGGTGTGAGTGTGCGTGTGTGTGATTTTACCCAATTTAACTGTAAAAGTGGCAACAAGTTTAGCGTAGAATATAGTGGGATATAGTAAAAGCTTGTTGGGTCATTTGGAACTTTCTGCTGCTAGATTTGCCAGGGATTCTGCCCTTTCCCTAGAGCGAGGCGAGGCGAGGCGGCGGGCGGCATCCGGAGCCGACATCACATCTGCCCTGATCTAATTTCCAGGCGCAGCGGCCGAGCGACCGGCGCCGAGAGCCGCGGGCACCCCGGGACGGACGGGCGCGGCTGAGAGATCCCTCGGCGCTTCCCGCCTCCTGAAAGCTCCAGAAAACCACCCCTCCGGGCTCAGAGCCCCCCTCCCCTGAGGCTTCGCTCGCATGTCCACGGCTCCCGCCCGCAGGCCCGCGGGTCGCCC